TCCCATGGCGAGCCCGAGGCATCCCACCGAAGATGCGCCATAAAAAACTAGTACCTCCGAGGTACTAGTTTCCAGAAACTGTGGGGCAAGGGCGGGCGTCTGATCATGTTTCCAGTGGTAGCTCGTGGCATCCGGCGCCCGCCCATGTCCCGTCGCGAAAAGGGTTTTTTTTTCAAGTCTCCATGGGATGCACACAAGCACCCAACGGCGCATGCGCACACTTCAGTTAAAAAAACCCACAACCCCCACCGTGCCACTTCTTTGCTGCGCCGCAGGATTGACGTATGATCGGCACCTCCCCCCAAACCACAGGATGTCGGCGGGACATTTGATCCAGCAGCCACGCAGTAGTTCGCTCCGGGGCAAACAGCCACGCCTCCCCCCTGCGATATCTGGCCCGTGTGACCGGGGCCTATAAAGTTTTTTAACATTTATAGATTTTCACAATAAGTCCTCAATAATGAACAAAGTGCTTCGGTCAAATAACTGTCCGTATAGTCACTCTGAACTTCTAATTGTCTATTTCTTCATCCATTCAAAATTCTATGTGTCAGTCCCTCCACTCGGCCGTCAAAGCCACATAATTTCCCCACTTCTTTATTTATTTATTTATTTATTTATATTTAAATTTATACCCCGCCCTACCCCGAAGGCTCAGGGCGGCTTCTATTAATAACTTCTATTAATAGCACATCCGCTGCTTCCAGGACTTATATTATAGTGAAAGTCCATTCATGTTTAAAATCTTTATAGTAATATACAAAATAAATTCATAGAATAATATCCTAGTAATTATCTCACGGTTGTCTGTATGGTTTGTATTGGGTGTTCAACTTCTCCCGTGATCTCTCATAATCTTTAACCCACCTGGAGATTGGCAACTCTGTGCTAGGTGTTACACCAGTGGACTCCCATGTTAACTACGCATGGTGTGAAGAGATGTTTCCTCCTCCCTGTCGTGATAACAAAGTGCCCTCCTCGCCTCTTGCTTTCCAGCCCATTCTGGCCTCCAAGCTGAAAATCCAGGACACGTGTGGAGTCCCCAACTTCTGGTTACAGCTCTGGCCACTCATGATACCTACGGAGAAGGGTGAGCTCTCATGATCCACCAGAGCAGAGGTTGCGTCTGAGACTGACCTTGCTTCTGGTTCCGTATTAGGCCAGAGTGAAGGATGCTTCCAAAATTCTGTGGAATAGAATTTCTCTCTGGATGTTCAGGTTCCAGCTTCACTCTGCCCTTCTCTCCAGAGTGGTATCAAACATGAGGGATTCTCCAAAGTTCCATTTCAAATGTCTGTCTTTTGAGAAGAAGACAAGGAGAAGAGATTGGGTTTAGACCCCCGTCCTTCACTACCCGAAGGAGTCTCAGAGTGGCTTACAATCCTTTTCTCTTCCCCTCCCCACAACAGACACCCTGTGAGGTAGGTGGGGCTGAGAGAGCTCTGAGACAACTGCTCTTGAGAGAACCTGTGACTGACCCAAGGTCACGCCAGCAGCTGCCTGTGGAGCAGTGGGGAATCAAACCTGGTTCTCCCAGATTAGAGTCTACACTTTTAACCACTACACCAAACTGGCACAGAAGGGCACTGTGCGTCGGGGGAAGATTGGCCTTTAATGCCACCCGGAAAAGACCTGGTGAGCAGATAGGATATTGGTTGCCCCTAGTGGAGGCTGGAGGTCTCCTGGGATAATGGCTGTTCTCAAGATGACAGAGATCATTTCCCCTGGAGAAATGGCTGCCTTGGGGGGTGGACTCTATGGCATCATACCCTGCTGAGGTCCCTCCCCTCTCTAAAACCCGCCCCCAGGCTCCACCCCCCCCCCAAATTTCCAGGTATTTCCCTGTGCAAGATGAGACTGGCCTCACCTCACCCAGCACCACCCCAGCCAGACGATACTCTTCTCACCCCATGTGAGATGAGACTCTTCTTGCCTCACCTGGAGTGGCCCCGTGTGAGACAAGAGACTCCTCCCCAGTCCTGGGACTGCACTGCGCAAGACGAAACTCTCCTCAATTTGCCCAGGGAGGCACCATCTGAGACAAGACTGACAAGAGAACCCACTCCTCCACATGCAGCCAGCTGGTGACCTTGGGTCAGTCATAAGTTCTATCAGAGCTGTTCTCTCAAGAGCAGTCCTCGAGAGAGCTCTCTCAGCCCCACATGCCTCACAGGCTGTCTGTTGTGGGGAGAGGAAGGGATTGTAAGCTGCTCTGAGACTCCTTCAAGTATGAAAAGTAGGGTATAATACCAACTCTTCTTCTTCTTCCTTGCCTTGCCTGGGACTGCTCCACATGCGAACTGCAGCCCTTTTCAGCAGCTAGTTCTTGCTCCATTGGGGGCATGGCTGGGGGGAGGTGTGGCCCTTTTCTTGGGTCATTAAATCTTCCCATCCTGCCCCTGATGTGCATGCACAATTTGTTGCAGCTTCTTGTTTATTTTGTTTATTTGTGTCTTCCTACCCACACACATTTCCTCTTTTTTTATCATCTTTTTATTGAGTTTTCAGTCTAATACATAACATCTGTATCACATCTTCAATATCAATTCGATCCAGTTAACACCCAACCGGCAACCGGGAAGCCCCCAATGAAGCCGAAAAGAGTCGGCCGTCCCGGAGCCCTCCGGGATCCGCCCGTCGCCGTGCCGACCAGAAGCTCCTCCACCCTTCCCACACACATTTCCGATGCACATGTGCAAATTGATAAAACACAACAAAAAAGCAATCTTGCTGGTATTTTAGGTACAGTAGTATCAATATCCTTTTTGTCTAGCATTAGTTTTACCAATGTGCAAGAGTACACCAGTAAAACGCAACATAACAAGACTCTTGATGCTGTTATATACAGGGCCACATCCAGATTGCAATGGCAAACCACCTTTGAAATGTCTCTTGCCTTTAAAACAAGCCTAGTTCACCACCTTGTGGTGCATAATGCCAAAAGAGCTAAAACTTCCGACTGCCAGACAATGTTAGGATTTTCTGGCTATACTACACACAATGCCACATGATGATAATCATAATAATAATCCAGATTGCTCCTTTACAGAGTTTTGTCAGTGCATGTTGGCTTCATACAGGAAAAGATGGAGTTGGAAACTGCTGAAAATTGCACTGAGCGTGCTTCAGTTTCAGTTTTAGTCTTAGAACTCCTTCTAGTTAAATCAGAATTCAAGCGTAGAACTCAGGACAGGGGGAGATGGCTGAAGAATGAAGCACCAGTGCAGGGGCAGACCCTCTCATTCTTCTCCAAAGATTTCTTCTCTGCCCCCACCTATCGATTTTGCAGGCTGACCGATGTCTTTCCCCTCATTGCTGATGGGAGTCGGACTGCTGTGTACCAAGGTGTCTTCCAGCTGATTGGCTTATGCGTTACTCTGGGAATCGCTGTGATAGGTGGAAGCCTTGTTGGTGAGTCTCACTGTGGCCACTGATTTGTGGAGGACCAAGAAGGGGGAGGTACCACCATGTGCCACACTTGCACTGAATGGAAAAGGATACAAGAATAACCCACAGCAGGAAGCCACTGTGATGATTCTGGAGATCGCTAATCCCTAATATTTTCTTGGCCATGATCGAGATAGCCAGGCTAGCCTGATTCTTGTCAGATCTCAGAAGCTAAGCAGGGTCGGCCATGGCTGGCATTTGGATGGGAGACCACCAAAGAAGTCCAGGGTCACTGTGCAGAGGCAGGCCATGGCAAACCGCCTCTGAATGTCTCTTGCCTTGAAAACCCTACAGGGGTTGGTCGGCACAAGTCAACTGCAACTTGACGGCAAAACAAACAAACAATAACCTTCCAGGCTCATTTTAGAAAATTTAAATTACTTTACAAAAATTGGACGCCACCTCTCCAGAGGTCTGCTCAAGATCGGCTTGCAATGAATTAAATGAAACCAATTAAAACGCAGCATTAATTTTAAAAATCCAAGACATTAAAACACAAGCATTAAAAAACAGGCCAATGCCAGCGACTCGTGATCAATAACAGACAGCCCATTTCCCAAATCCAACCAATGCCTTTCTTGCAGAAATTCAATACGCATGAGATGCTTCCTTACCTGCTGTCAGATCATCAGTCCAACTAGGCCAGGGTGGTCTCCTCTGAGTGGCAGCCGCTCTCCAGGGCCTCAGGCAGAGAGTGGTCTTGTCCGGCTCTGGTCCTTGAGATCCTGTTACCTGGAGAGAGACCAGAGACTGAACTTCGTGGGTAGACCAGGGGCTTTCACACCTCAGTTCACTTCCTGACAATTCCCTTCTATGCTGTTGGACAGTAGAGAAGTTTTCACTCCCCCTGCTTGGTTGGTTTGCTCCACCAGGCCTGCTGGTCTAAAAGTTAAAAGGCTGATTTGGATTAAAAACTTACTTGAAAAACATATTTGGCCACCTGTCTGTTATCAGCTGTTCAAAACAGACCTTGTAGATGTGGTATGTGAAGCAACGGGCTATGTACAGCATGGGGTCTTAATGTGCATGCACTGACCTACATGTGTGCTAGAGTAGGGCTTCACACCACTCCCCTATGCTCCACCATGACAGCTTTGCTCTTTGGAGCAGGGTTTTCTGCAGGTGCAACTTACAAGTGGGCAACTTACAAGTGGGCAAAATCAACAGCTGCCCATACAAGCGCCTTCTTGGTTGTGGCCCCCGCCTTGTGGAATGGCCTAGCTGAGTGGGTCAAGAAGGCTCCCCCCTCTCCTGGCTTTCCGCAAATGATGCAAAACTGAATTATTCAAGGGGGGCTTTTCTGACTCCATGATTTTAAAAAGAAAACTCGCACTGCAAAATAAGATATATGAACTATCCAAGAACCAGCAAAAGTGGTAGCACTGTACAAGATGTTTCAACAAAGTTACTTGGACAAATTATTATGGTCTGGGCTCTACACTACTGTGTATAGTTCGCTGTAAATTGGACCCTGTTGTGTAATTTTGCATTATTTAATGTGTGATGCTTAATACTTATGCTTTGTTTCAGTTCTGTTTTTAGTCTTCTGGTTGGTTCTGCAACCCAAATCCTCTTGCATTATTTATTGACTGCCCCATCCGTCAATCATATGGATTCAGCCTCTGTAATCCGCCTTGAGTCCAAGCGAGAAAGGCGGACTATAAATAATGCAAACAAAAATCCCAGGCGCCAAGTCACCACGGGACCTAGAAATTTCACTGTGACACCTAGTGTTTGGGAAATGATTTTATTGTAGGGTCTCTCAAGGAGACTACAAAGCTTATGCATCATTTCACATCAGAACGTTTGGTTGTATGGCATAAAAAAGCATGTGCATCAAGTTCTTGCCATTGCCTGTTTATATGTTAATTCTACACCATTCAGTGGCAGTGAATGAACTCATTTCTTAACCAGTTGCTTTCTATAGTGCCTCCAATATTCAGTTCAATTAGAGTGCCAACGTGGTGTAGTGGTTAAGAACGGCAGACTCTAATCTGGTGAGCCGGGCTTGATTCTCCACTCCTCCTCCACATGAAGCCTGCTGGGTGACCTTGGGCCAGTCACAGTTTCTCTCAGAACTCTCTCAGCCCCACCTATCTCACAAGGTGCCTGTTATAGGGGGGGAGTAGTGGAGAGCCAGCGTGGTGTAGTGGATTAGAGCAGTGGACTCTAATCTGAAGAATGGGGTTGGATTCCCCACTCCTCCTCCACACGAGGCCTGCTGGGTGACCTTGGGCCAGTCATAGTTCTTTCAGAACTCATCACCACCTACCTCAAAAGGGGAGAGGAAGGGAAGGCAATTGTAAGCCCCTTTGAGACTCCCAAGGGTAGAGAAAAGTGAGGTATAAAAAACAACTCTGCTTCTTCTAAATGGAGTTTTAATGGGATTATCAGAAACAGGGGAGGAGTCAGGCTAGGGCTAGGGGCTAGCTTTTTGTTGTAGCAATGACAACCAGAGCTCTCCCTGTAGCTTTAATAAAATTGTGAGAAACTGTGAAAGAGGTTGAGATTAGACAACATAGTAATTAATATATGAAATCCTGAAGAGTGAAAAACAAGTCTGTCTCCTAAATTTGAGCACTGGGTCTTAGGACCAAAGAAAATTTGTCAAGGCCTGCGCTGGAGAGACCCTTTTCCTCTCAGATTTAACTTCTGCTGAATCTGGGAGAGGAAGTTAAAATTTTAATCAGTAACAGTGACTCCAACTTTCTTTAGCAAAATGTTACCATGGCATTCCGCAGAGGCAAAAACAGGCAGAAAACAGGGCAGTGATTAAGCAGGGGGCAAAGACCAGAAAACGGAGTGTCTGACAAAAATTGGAAGGAGCCATTTTCTCTGCTGATGTTATGGGCTCTTTGACCACTAGAGGGCAGTACACGCTAAGCTATGAAGGACCCCCTTCCTGTTTCCTGTCTGTGACTCTTCTCACTAGCTGAGACTTTGGGTTTTAGGTTGATACAAAAACACACATGTAGCAGAGATGGGGGAAGACGTAATGGATGGGGCATTCCAGATGCATCCGTTCCTTTTTAGAAGCGAGATCAGGTCATTCAGATTCCCCAAATACAGGGGGAAACTCAGATGAGAACTTCTGAAGCATCTCCAGATGGGGCCCATCCATGGTGCTGAACTCTGGGATCCTTCCTCTTACATCTTCTCTTCCCTCCTCCAGGGCTCATCCTGAAGATGAAATGCCTTGCAGCTCCCCCTGACACACAATGCTTTGACGACCAAGTCTACTGGGAGGTATTTGAAGATTTCTTTCCCCCACTGAAATGAGAGCCTTTATTTAACAATGTAGACAGTGGCCTCTTTGCAGCTTCAGGCTGTCGGCCTGGAGCCAGTGGGCCCGTCTCTTTGAAAGAGAGTAGAGGGACAGAAGCCCTGACCTGAACAGCCCAGGCTAGCCCGATCTCATCAGATTTTGGTAGCTAAGCAGGGTCGGCCCTGGTTAGTACTTGGATGGGAGGCAACCAATGAAGTCCAGGGTTGCTACGCAGAGGCAGGGAATGGCAAACCTCCCTTGTTTGTCTCTGCCGTGATCTGGAGGGCTCAGCCTAAGCCCAGTCTCATCAGATCTCAGAAACTAAGCAGGGTCAGCCCTGGTTAGATCTTGGATGGGGGTGGGAAGTCTCGGGTTGCTATGCAGAGGCACACAATGGCAAACCACCTCTGTCCGTGTCTTGCCTTGAAAACCCTACAGCAGGGGTGTCGAACTCATTTGATATGAGGGCCAGAAGTGACATAAATGAGACCTTGTTGGGCCGGGCCACATGTGTCATAAAAGGTAATGCCAGGTAGCGGAGATATAAACTTCATAAAGGACACAGTCAAACACAATTAAATTTTAAATAACACATTTCCAGTGAGTTCACCACCCCTGCCCTACAGGTTCACCATAAGTTGGCGATGACTTGACTTCCCACCGCCCACCCACCCCAAAAAACCCGGAAAGAAACAGAGCATAAAAAGGGCCACATTCAGAAACTAGAGAGGGAACATTTCTTTCTCCTAGAACACTCCCCGGCTAACAACACCGAAACAGTCTTCACCCAGAAGGCTTCAGAACTCAGCATGAATATTTTTGGCCTAGAACATATAAGCAAATTCGATTCTGCTGAGTTTGGGCTTCATTGGCCCTGGGGATTTCTTTAAATTAGTGCAGCTCAGCTCAGATTTCCGGGGTGGAAGGAGAGACTTACAACCAGGGTGTCACACGTCCTGTTCTCAGTTTATCTCAGCCAGTTTGGTGTAGTGGTTAACTGCACGGACTCTAATCTGGGAGAACCAGGTTTGATTCCCTACTCCTCCACTTGCAGCTGCTGGTGTGACCTTGGGCAAGCCATAGTTCTGTCAGAGGTGTTCTCTCTCAAGAGCACTCTCTATCAGAGCTCTCTCAGCCCCACCTACCTCACAGAGTGTCTGTTGTGGGGAGGGGAAGGGAAAGGAGTTTGGAGGCCGCTCTGAGACACCTTTGGGTAGTGAAGTAGTATAAATCCAATCTCTTCTTCTTCTTTTTCTTCTTCTTCTCTGGCTTCTGCACAGATACCTGAGGATCATCACGATGGATTTCAGTGCTTGCAGGGTGCGAAGGAACTGGACAGAGACACGAGGGCCTGACAGGACTCATCCAGGGTAGCCACAAGGCAGGGGGCAGAAGGAGCATCGCCGGATCCGTTGCGTCTTGATGACCCTGACCATCAGGAGAAGTTCTCAGAAGGCCTTTTAAGCAGGTCCAAATGCCAGAACGTATTGCCTCGGTGCTTCCTTGCTAAAACCAGGAGGTGCTCAGGCTCATGGCTTTGGAAGGCTCAACCTCTGGTCTGAAAACCCAGCCAGATGGATGGGCTGTAATTGCTCAACGGAGATGAAAACAGCATTCCGCGCATGAACAGAGAGGCAGCCCCACATGTTTGTGAGCTTCACCGTATCTGTGGTTCACTGCAACGGAGTCTGGCGCTCGGGGTTATCTTGAAATAAGACTGTGACTGTTTGGACAACCCAAGAGCCCCAGAGCAAGTCTGATCTCTGGTCCAATGAGTGACACCTGACAGTATCTCACATGAAGACACATGAAGCTGCCTTGTGGTGAATCAGACCATTGGTCTATCAAGATCAGCATGGCCTGCTGAGACTGGCAGTGGCTCTCTGGGGTCTTGGGCAGAGAAACGTCTGTCACATCACCGAATGCCTGGTCCTTTACACTGGATATGCTGAGGGTTGAACCCAGGACCTTCTGCATGAAAAGCAGATGCTTTCCCCCTAAGCCAATGTCTCACATTGTTCCATGGATGGAACAGGCAAATGTAGGGTTCTCTCTCTCTCTGTGTGCATGTGTGCATGCGTGTGTGCATGTACACACACACACCAGCCAGCAAAGATCTCAACATGAATGTCAGATGGCTGCCATCTTTTTTAAAATTAAAATAAATTTTATTTAATGCCTTCTCAAAGCACAATACCACCAATATCAGAAAAGGCTCATAGCAATACATAGTATGTTGGCAGCATGTGGAGAAACATGGCTGCCATCTTGATGGCATTCCAGCACTAAGCTGCGGTGGCTTAGAGGTTGAGATGCTGAGCTGCAGATGGGAAGGTCTGTTGCTCGGCAGTTCGAGACCCTAATGCTGCATGACGGACTGAGCTCTCTGGCCCCAACTCCTGCCAAACTAGCAGTTCGAAAGCAAGAAATTGAGAGTAGATAAATAGGTACCGCTTTGGTGGGAAGGTAGCAGCGTTCCATGCACTGGCCACACAACCATGGAGAAGTCTTCAGACAGCGCTGGCTCTTCGACTTGGAAACCAAGATAAGCACCACCCTCTAGAGTCAGATTCAACTGGCTTTTGAGCAATCTGGCAAAGCAAAAACTCTGGCTAGAGATTACACCTTACTAGAATTACTGAAAGCAATCACCCAAGCAATCACTTGGGAGATAAGGCTTGCTGATCTCAAAATCCTGTCCTTGATCCTATTGTGAATTCCCAACATACTATCTCCCAGAAATAGACTAACCTGCCTACCAGAGGATCCCTATTTCTATCGCTATCTCTATCTCAGGCTAAGCGCTCTATGAGGAGTCGACCACCTTTCTCCCCACCCCACCTAATCCCCCCTCCCCCAAGGATCCACAGCCTTTCATTGGCTGGAGTCTCTAAGGATTTGCATACAGACGCTGGCAGTGAAGCCTGAAGGGTGGAACTGGTAGCTGTCTGTCACAGGTGTCCAGAGGAAACGATTGCCCAGAGGCCTGAGGTCATTCTTTCCAGCCCCTCAGACAGTGTGGTGTCGGGGTTGGGAAGAGCTTCGTCGTCACTGGAGATCTTCAAATAGCGACTGGACAGCTGCCTGTTGGAAACAGTTTTATGTTTCTTGCACTGAGGAAGGGGTTGGACTAGATGACCTTTAAGCTCACTTTCCTATTCTACCGATATTTGTCCCACATTTGCAACCGATGACTAATAATTATCATCCTTCCTATTCTACACCTCTGCGGGGGCCACAAATCCCTTGATTTTTTTAAATCCTGAAACACTGATCCTGTGGTTTCAATTTTTTTTACTAAATTAAACAACTAAAACAAAAGTTACTGTGATGGTTAAGAAAACAAAAGTCCATTTTTCGAGAGGATTTTGCTAAGGAAACAGCCCATGCTTGTCAGGACTTGGCAATGAAGCAGGGTCGGCCCTGGTCAGTACTTGGATGGGAGACCACCAAGAAGAAGAAGAAGAGATTGGATTTATACCCGGCCCTTCACTTGGAGTCTCAGAGTGGCTTACAAACTCCTTTGCCTTCCCCTCCCCACAACAGACACCCTGTGAGGTGGGTGGGGCTGAGAGAGCTCTGACAGAAACTGCTCTTTTTCAAGAACAGCTCTTATCAGAACTACGGCTTGCCCAAGGTCATCCATCCAGGTGCAAGTGGAGGAGTGGGGAATCAAACCCGGTTCTCCCAGATTAGAGTCCGCACACTTAACCACGTCACCAAACTGGCTCTCTCAAGGAAGCCCAGGGTTGCTCCACAGAGGCAGACTGTCAGGATCCACAGCAAAACAACGAAGCACACACTTCCAGGAAGGTTTTACTTTAATTGAAAAGCCATAGATGCAGTAACATGAACACTGTTAGGAATGGCGGACTACCTATGCGCATAATAGGATATAGGGCATTCATATGCACACACCCCAGCAATACCCAATTAGGTGGACTCCCGCACGCGGGAGATGGCAAGAGTCTCTAACGGTAGCGAATCTGGGAACAAAGTAGCTCCCACAGAAGGTAGACACCACAACTCCTCCAGTAACTCTTTACAGATAAGTGTTGCAGCTGTGAAGCAATTAAGCGCAAGGGAAGGAATGCAAAGCAATTACAGAGCCTCTCCACACTCATGGCAGCTTAGCTGACACAGACCACCTCTGAAGGTCTCATGCCTGGAACAGCCATAAATTGGCTGTGATTTAGCAGCACACTCAGGCTTTCTGTTTGGAGTTAAATCAGGAGGCAACAACAGAAGAAGACAGGTTTGCACCTGGTCGAGGTTGGGATTGGGGGCGAGCAGGCCTCATAAGAACATAAGAGGACATAAGAGAAGCCATGTTGGACGAAGCCAATGGCCCCACCAGTCCAACACTGTGTCACACAGTGGCCAAAACCCAGGTGCCCTCAGGAGGTCCACCAGCAGGGCCTCGCTCCTAATCCAAGTGGATTGAGAAAGGTAAATTCTCACCTACACTGCTGCATTCTTGACTTGGTGGAATGCTTAACAATGTTTGAGGGCTTGTGTTCAAGACTGTTTGTGATCACCAATGACAAGGACTTACTTGAGTGCAAATAAATAGATGGTCTGGTGGATGATACTTGAGTGGTCATTTGGCCAATATGCCAAACATAGACCTAAGAGTGGATTGGGTGAATCTACACTGCCCCAGGAGGGGATATTTTGGAAATGAGGGAATATCGAACAGGGGTAGATTGTGAGGCAAAATGGCCCGGGAAAATGCCCCACCCTCCCCTGCCCTGCCTCCCCAGTGGGAGGCCCGGGCTAGTTGTGCCTGGTGCTTGGCTTGGCTGTGGCATCTCTGCTGGGCTGGCCAGGTGGGTGATGGTGGGGGCTGCAGGACTTGTGTGAGCCAGGTCATAACAGCCGCATGACTTGCCCAGTTGGGGCGACTCATCCGGAAAGTGGCGCGTGCTCGGTTGGGCTGGTCTCTTTTGCCCCCTGGAAGGGCACGGGGGAAGCGGCTCCCAGGCCATCAGCCCACCACAGGGGCCCCTAACCTTTCTGAGCCTGCGGGCACATTGGGGATTCTGACACAGCACGGTGGGCGCAGCAACAAAATGGCTGCCACAGGAGGCGGAGCCAGCCACAAAATGGTTGCCGCAGCTTCACAGTGCAGATCCCTGTGCTGTGGTGGCAGCTGGTGCCAAAGCAACATTTTAAAAAATCTGCACATCCAATCAAAATTGCGGTGGCCAGTGAGAAGCCTTGCTGGGCAAAAGCCCCACCGACCCGACTTCCTAAAAACACTTGGTGGGTACAGAAAAGGTGTCAGTGGGGGTGCCATAATACTCATGGGCACCTTGTTAGGGACCCCCAGCCTGCCAGGACTTTCCCCAGGGGCCATAATGGCCAATCCGCCCCATAGGAAAAGCAGGCTCCCGGGGGCCTGACAGCTGCCTGCCGATTGGAATCCTCCTGTGTGCTAACTGGAGGGACTCCAGGTGTGCGTATCAACCAGAAGTATTTGCAAGAGCCGGTGTGGCATAGTGGTTAGAGTGCTGGACTAGGAGGTGGGAGACTTGGACTGAATGTGCACACGTCTGATGGTGGCAGAAGGGTTGTGACCAGTTTCATTGACAAAAGTTGGACATGGCTTTGATCGTCCCCTTAGGAAGCCTTCCCAAACTCAGCCAGGTGGGGAAAGAGCCCTGCTAGGGCATGTGAGCAGGGAGCAGATAAACTAAAGCAGTTCTCGGGCTCTTTCCTCCTTCCTTGGATGCATACTCTGCCCTGCTGTTAACTTGTTATTTAGTTTTTCACTTTGCATAACTTAAACATCATGATGTCACAGGCAGTGTTCCCTCTAAGCTGAGTTAGTGTGAGCTAGCTCACAGTTTTTCAGCCTCTGGCTCACACATTTTTGTCTTAGCGCAGGAAGGAGGGCTCCAGAGCAAACTAGTTTATTGCAGTAGCCAAATCTCTCGCTCACAACTTTAATGCCAGCAGCTCACAAAGTAGAATTTTTGCTCACAAGATCCCACAGCTTAGAGGGAGCATTGGTCACATGTTCATTTGCTGTGGTGAGGTGGCTCAAGTGGTTAAGACGCTGAACTGCAGGCTGTGGAAGGTCGGTAGTTCAGCAGTTTGAGACCCGAGTTGCCGCATGACGGAGTGAGCTCCCGTCTCTAGTTCCAGCTCCTGCCAAACTAGCAGTTCGAAAGCAAGAAATTGCAAGTAGATAAATAGGTACTACTTCAGTGGGAAGGTAACAGCATTCCGTGCACCTTGGTGTTTAGTCATGCCGGCCACATGACCACGGAAATGTCTTCGGACAGCGCTGGCTCTTCGGCTTTGAAACGGAGATGAGCACCGCAACCCTAGAGTCGGATTCGACTGGCTTTCTAGCAAGGGAACCTTTACTTTTACCTTTTTACCCTGTCTATAAGTTTAGAACCTCGTCTGCCATTCCATTGTATTTTTAAAAGTGTGCCTTGCACACGAAAGCTCATACCTTGAATAAACCTTTGTTGGTCTCAAAGGTGCCACTGGGACTCTCAATGTGTTCTAATGCTTCAGACCAGCACGGCTGACCACCTGGAACTAATACAAACTGCTTTCCCGCACCTCCCCCCCCCCCCCCCTCCTCCCCCCACACATCCCATTGACCTGATCTGAACTGGAATATCCTCCCCGCCCGCACTCTTTGCACCACCAGTCTTGTCTTAACACCTTGATTTTGGGAAACAGGGTAGGTGAAGTCTCACATGAAGCGACAGAGCCAGTGCTCCGTTTGTGCTAAAAGAAGAATACTTTTACAGCAACAGCTCCTTAGCAGTGCAAAAGTGTTCCAGGAGGGTGAGGCAGTTCAGTCAGCCTCCCGTTCCCTTGACCTAATTTTACTTGAAATTTACTTGAAATAATTACTTGAAATGTTGCATTAAAAAAAAAAAAACCACCCCACAGCTTTCGGTAGCTTTGGAGGAAAAACAAAACATTTTATTCGTGTTTTAATTGGTTGTATCTGGTTTCTGTTTTATGAACACTGGGCATCGCCCAGAGCCCTTGCCAGAGCAGAGATTGGGCAATTCATAAATACAATAAATAATACTTATAATAAAACACAGAGACCCTACCTCAGGGGTCCCCAACGAGGGGCCCATGGCACCATGATGCCCACTGGCACCTTTACTGGCACTTGTGTTCCTTCTAAGCTGAGCTAGTGTGAGCGAGCTCACTGTTTTTTAGCCTCCGGCTCACACCTTTTTTGTCTTTGCTCAGGAAGGATGGCTACAGAGCAAACTAATGGGTGCAGGAGCCAAATCGCTTGCTCACGACTT